AGATTATAACAGGAAAGAAACCTCCTAAAATGTTCTCTCCCTCTCTTCACCTCCTTCCACTTTTAAATGTCTCCCACGGGATCTCTGGCTGATCTGAGCATAAATGTGAATGAAAGTATACTTGACTATGTATTGAATTTGCTTTATTAAAGTTTGGTATTTTAGTTTTAATGTGGCTCAGAGGGATGGCATCTTTCTTTTTAATGTGTTACAAAAAACCTTACTTTGATTTTTTTCTTGTATGATTAAATATTTTATACTATTTTTTCTCCTTTTCTTTTTTTTCCCACTATCAGTTTGCTTTTTCATGGGAAGAATAAATATTTTTATAGTATTTTTATGTTATGTACTATAAAATATTATATTATTTCATTAGAACCCAGAAAGATCATTATGCTATAGTAGGACACATGATCCACATATTCAAAAAAAGCTGTAATATAATAGAGTATTTCTTCTTTTATTTGAGAGGCACACCCCTAGAGGAGCTGGTCTACAAGATTCCATAAAACTCTTTTTATTTAAAGACAAAGTTTGAAATGATAATAATTTAGATGTACTGAGTTAAATAAAGCATTACAAACATTGAAATAATCATTAATCATTTTGCCTAATAAATGTATGTGCCATTCCACTATCACTGTCACTGATAAAATGCCAAATTCAAAACCCTAACATGACTCAATGAGGTATTCACTGGCATACGTTTTTAATATTTAATCTTTAAAATGTTCTTGTCTCTCTTTGTCTAATTCTAGTTGACAGACTAATAATTCCCATTGGTAGAACTCTGCAGACTTCAGGTAGCAGTAAAATCCCAAAGCACATTCTCTATTGCCTTAATTGCATTACACATGAATAGATTTCAGAATCTGTAATATTCCGGCATGAGAACATATATTTAAGGACAAACTGTGAAATAATTAGCTAATCTCCCTTTTATCAGACAGAAAAGAATAGCTTGTTTGAGAGTAGCAACGGGTTCCCACCAAGGTAAATTTCTTATGGTTCTTTACATTTAAATGAAATAGAGAAAAAGAAAAATGATTGAAACAAATTTATGCCATTTGTCTTGGTTATCTGCTGCCTTAAAATTTATGAGAACAGAATTATGCTGCAGAAACAGAGTAAGGGTGAGTTCTAATTCAGGTGTGCAGCACTTTCTACCCTGTTTCTCAAATAAGCTTCCTACTATGTTGAATGTTTAGTACTTTTTAAGGGTGCTGAAGTTTTTAATTCTACTATTATTTTAAAAATAAAAATATTTGTTTTTATTAAAAATAAAAATAAAAATATTAAAATATTTTAAAATTATTATTTTAAAAATAAAATTATTTTAAAAATGAGAATATCAATCTCCAATTGATTATGGAGATTTACCACCTGGATTTCAATTTGTACACAATACAAATGACTGATTTCTTCTTTATCCTAAGCCAAATGTAAAAGGGAGGAAGAGATAAGGAATCACATCTGTCAAAAAGGGTGGGCTGAGTCTCAGAGACAAACTTCATTGACTTCACAAGTTTGGAAACCTCTGGTTCCCACAATCAGTTACATGTATTTCTTCACCTGCACAGGGCTCTTATATCTAGCAATACATACTTAAGACTGAAAGAATGTGGCCAAATAAGAGAAGAAGGAGAATGATAAGAAAGAGAGCAAAGAAGGAGGAAAAGCAAGGGATTAGGAAAATAAATTGCAAGAAAAAATGGAAAAGAAAGTCACAGGAAACATAAGCTAAAGGCGAATGAAAAGGAATAATTGTTGTAAATGAGTGTGTGAAGACAGAATTCGCAGAAAGAGAATGGACAAAGATGGGAAATAAGAAAGAAGCAAGAGAAAGGAATGGGGAAAGAGAAGGGAGTGAGCTGCTAGGATGGTGGTCAGGTCTCTAAACACGTGGCTTCAGGAGCTGATCTGAGAGCAGTTTGGAATTGAGGTATGCATACTGTTGCCTGCAGATGCTTGCTGCTCTGTAGTCTGGAAGGAGTTGTGGGGGACAGTATGGGGACCCTCTCTACTTACGCATCTTCAATATCAAAGGATTTTTTAAAAAAAATCTGTTGAAATAATAAGGAAGGTTAGAGATGGTGACAATCATTCAGGTTTTTGTCTTGGCCTACACTGAATGCTCCTTTGTCCTGTGTAACTAGAACAAGAAGTTTGCCCACGTGAGATCCACTGTTTTGTGCTTTTTTTCTCAGGAACTCATTCTGTACAGAGGAATGCCCACCTGATGCATATCTGTCCTCCATCTCTGATGACTACAATTTGAGAATCACCAGAACAAAAGGTACATAAATGAGAACGGAAGAAAGAAGAAAAATGGATTAAAGATGTTAAGTAACATGGAATTTCACCTGTTAGTTAACAGACAATAGAGGCGAATAGTAGAAAATAAAAGCAAAGGAAGAGTGGGAGAAGCTGAAACTCTCAGGTGTTCTCTGTGTCTTGGAATCCTCAACCTGGAGAAGCATGAGATAATTAACTACAATTGAGCACTTGAAATGAACAAAAGGTAGGAGCAGGGGAAGGAGCTTCCGACTTAAGTTCTTAAGACCAGGTTTCTGTAGGCAGAGCAAGGTATGAATGTGGCAGCCAAGAGATGTCTGAGTGGGTAAAAAAGAAAAGGAAATGCCAAAACTAATTTGAGGAACACTAGAATACTTTTTTCCAATTTCGGTTTTCTTAGATTCACTAGGTGTGTAGTTATGCAAGTGTGAACATGTATTTGGAATGCACAAATATGTGCCCATGTGTTGTAAGTGCCTGTTCCACAGCATGTGCTGCTAGTTACGAATATTACTAATCACATACAACAAATGTTCTGATGTATTCTAATAGCTCTGCTGTAAAATGCCAATATATCACCTATTTCAATTCATTTCCTATGAATTTTCTTTATGGATTTTTTTTTTTTTTTTTTTTTTGAGACAGAGTTTCACTCATGTTACCCAGGCTGGAGTGCAATGGCACGATCTCGGCTCACCGCAACCTCCGCCTCCTGGGTTCAGGTAATTTTCCTGCCTCAGCCACCTGAGCAGCTGGGATTACAGGTATGCACCACCATGCCCAGCTAATTTTTTGTATTTTTAGTAGAGACGGGGTTTCACCATATTGACCAGGATGGTCTCGATCTCTTGACCTGGTGATCCACCCGCCTCCGCCTCCCAAAGTGCTGGGATTACAGGCTTGAGCCACCGTGCCCGGCCTTCTTTATGGATTTTTAAGGCTAATTTTTCTTTATTCTTTTCCTCGCTTCTCTCTTTCTAGTTCCTCTTTCTAGTAATTTCTGTCAAATTTCAATTAGGAATTTATCTCCTCTAGTCCTCCTCCCCCACATTTTGAAGCACTGCTTCAAAAAAAAAAAGTTGTATTGAAATATAATCAGCACATTATAAAATTCACCATTTAAAGTGTATAAATTCAATGGTTTTAAGCATATTTACAGAGTTCATGCAAGCATCAACATGTTGTAGCATGTATCAATACTTCTTTTTTATTGTCACATTGCATGATATTGTATCCACAGCACTTTTGAAAATAAATATTGTATGTAATCAAAAGTTAAGGGTAATATTTGTAGTATTTTGTTATAATTAGCAATATTTTATCTTTGAAATCATTCATTCCAATGTGAAACATGCATGGTATCATCACGTGTATTTATTTATAAAATGTTTTACAATCATCTCAACATAATAATTAAAATATAACCACAAATATATTTTGAAAAACATAGTTTATAATAATGTGGAGAAAATTCCATTATTTTTATGCACTCCAATGGATTATCTTATACATCTCTTTGGGTGAACATATCTAAGTTTGGAGATTAGTATACAGATAAACCTTAATTCTGGATTTCTCCAACATGAATAGAATACATATTTAAACAAAGCTATGGCCAGAAAGGTGGAATATTTAGACATGCAGCATTATATTTACTTAAGTGCCTAAATAAAATATTGCCAATTGATGAGACACTAAATAATTTTGTAAACAGTGTAAACTTAGGAATAAACACCTGCTTTCTTCTATCACTTGCTAATGAGAGAAAAGAAAACTCACTGGAAGTTTAAAACTTGCCTGCAATTGCATTTTTTTATCTCTCAAACGAGTACCTCAGATTATATGTTCCATATGGCCAATTCCAGCTCTACTATATTTTAATTTTATTAGCTGAGAAAGTAAAAATCTTCTACATATTCTGATAAATTTTGCATTATGAAAAATATTTGTGAAAATATCATTTGGCTCTCAGTCTGAGATCTTAAGAAGAAGTAGGTTATGGATACATAGAGAGTAGGTGAAACTGAATTAATATTAGCTAGCACTCAACCAGGCTGTAACTAGGGAATTCCTCCAAGTTAAGAGAAATATACAGATCTTGCCTGCTATCCTGGTGACCAGTTTGAAGTAAGAATGTACAAGGGCACCAAAGCAGAACAATGTGATGGCAATAATAAGAAAGGAACAAATTTAGAAACCAGTCAGGTAACAACCAGGAGCCAAGAATTCCACAGGAACTGAGAGAGAGAAGCAATGGTGAAAGCACTTTATTCTGCAACAGGAAGAAAAGGGACTAAAACCTAGCAACTAATCTAATAGAGACAGTGGACCACCACCAACAGCAACAAAAACAAAACGGACAAACTTGATCATGCTTAAGTTTTGCTTTAATCAGACAACTTCTAATATTCTTCAAGCAAAGTAGCCTGGAGTCCTATGGGAGCGCAGTTATCTAAAAGTATGGGATTAAATAGGCATAAAAGTGTGGCCACAGAAAAATTTGTATTTATTTTAGTGAGAAATAAAGAGGATGGATAGAAGGGTTAACTCAGGATACAAGAGTTATGAGGCATAAGGTGTCTTCAACTAGACAATGTTGGTTGCCACAAATAATGTTCTTATCTAGAGAGGAGACACAAAACAGATGAGAAGGTGGTTACACCAGGTAACACTTTGGCCTGTTTTATTCTGCAGAGTTAGAAAAGATGGAAACAGAGAATCTCACAGTGGTGACAGAATTCATCCTTCTTGGTCTGACCCAGTCTCGAGATATTCAACTTCTGGTCTTTGTGCTAGTCTTAATTTTCTACCTCATCATCCTCCCTGGAAATTTTCTCATTATGTTCACCATAAGGTCAGACCCTGGGCTCACAGCCCCCCTCTATTTCTTTCTGGGCAACTTGGCCTTCCTGGATGCATCCTACTCCTTCATTGTGGTTCCCAGGATGCTGGTGGACTTCCTCTCTGAGAACAAGGTCATCTCCTACAGAGGCTGCATCACTCAGCTCTTTTTCTTGCATTTTCTTGGAGCAGGAGAGATGTTCCTTCTTGTTGTGATGGCCTTTGACCGCTATATCGCCATCTGCCGGCCTTTACGCTATTCAACCACCATGAACTCTAGAGCCTGCTATGCATTACTATTGGCTCTGTGGCTTGGGGGCTTTACCCATTCCATTGTACAAGTAGCCCTTATCCTGCACTTGCCTTTCTGTGGCCCAAACCAGCTCGATAACTTCTTCTGTGATGTTTCACAGGTCATCAAGCTGGCCTGCACTGATACCTTTGTGGTAGAGCTTCTGATGGTCTCCAACAGCGGCCTGCTCAGCCTTTTGTGCTTCTTGGGTCTTCTAGCCTCCTATGCAGTCATCCTCTGTCGTATAAGGGAGCACTCCTCTGAAGGAAAGAACAAGGCTATCTCCACATGCACCACCCATATTATCATTGTATTTCTCATGTTTGGACCTGCTATTTTCATCTACACTCGCCCCTTCCAGGCTTTCCCAGCTGACAAGGTAGTTTCTCTTTTCCATACAGTCATCTTTCCTTTGATGAACCCTGTTATTTATACACTTCGCAACCAGGAAGTGAAAGCTTCCATGAGGAAGTTGTTAAGTCAACATATGGTTTGCTGAACAGAAGAATGAGAAAAGCAAGAAAGGAGAAACTCCAGTTGAATTTAGCTAAATCATTACCTCATTAATGCAATAAATCAGTCATTTAGCAAATATTATAATTATTAAGCACTTCCCATTTTCAGGCACTATTCTAGGCACATGAATGAGATAGGTAAAATTCCAGATCTCTGAGATTTACATTCAAGGGGATGAATGCAAGTTAAACTTTTAAATTTTAAAAACAACTATAGTGTCAGAAAGAAATAGTGCTCCGTAGCAAGCAAAAAGTGGTATTATGCTACAGATTATCTGGGGAGGTGGTAATTACTTTACTTTTGGTTGACAAGTCAGGTCTCAAGTGGTGTTTAGCTGATACCAAGATGATTTGAAAGTAACAACCATGCAATTATCTGGGGACAGAAATTCTAGGCAAAAAGGATGACTAGAACAAGAATCCAAAGATCTTATGAGCTTGTTATATTTGATGACCTTAAAAATGAAGAGAGTAGCTGTACTGTAGTTAGTGAATGTGAAAATGGCAATAATTGAAGTCGAAGAGTTTGGTAGGGGCAAAATTATGCAGAGTATTTTCATCGATAAGAAGTTCAATTGATTCAGATTTCAAAAGGAGATTCTTGAAAGACAAGCAGCAGAGTAACTACCTAATGTTTCCTATTTTACTTAAGGGAAGATCCTCGAGATTCTGATTACAGAAGTATGAGTAGGAAAATATCATTAAGTAGAAAGTACATGCTGCTAAGTATTTTTTATGTATGTCAACACTTAAAAGATCTAGTTATTTTTTCTAATTTGATAGAGGGAAAAAAGAAAAGCTGTTATACTGTACTGGAAACTGTCAAAAGACAATCTAACTATATATTTTGAAGTTTTGTAGAGTTTTGTAGTTATTCCTAATGGATTTTTTCTGACGTAGAGAAAAGCTTCAGTTCACCTACAAATTATTTCATCCTCAATGCAATGATGGTGGTTATATGTCATGTAAGTTACTATTTGGTTACAGATAACCACTCTGATTATTTGAATAAGCATATATAAGGCATTCAATACTTACAAATCATTGAAGAACTATAAGACCAGGCTGTAGACTTGGCATACTAAGATAAATTTCTAAACATTACCATTAATTCCAAATGTTTTAAGTTCTACAATTTACATTTACTTCTTTTTACAGATTTGAATTTTCTGGTGAAATTTGCTATCTTTTTATCTATCTATTACATTAAAAAATAAAATGAAGGAAGTAAGAATAGAGATTATAAAATGTAGGGTTTCCATTTTAAGTAGGGATGTCTAATAGGACTATTCCTAGTGAATACAGTAATCATTTTTTAACTGCCAGTTCCTGGATTACGCATTTGAATCATTAGCCTATGATCAGGAAATTGCTCAGCAATTGCTCTAGTCCTATTAGACATCCCTATTGGAAACCTCACATTTTGTAATCTTTATTCCCACTTCATTTCATTTTTTAATGTTTTTAAGCTGTTATTATTATTCCTAAAGCCTACATAACTCAATGGTTTCTCATCCAAGCATTAACTAGACCCAATCTTTCTCAGCTTCTGAGATCAGGCATGATCAGGCACATTCACTTACTTTACTTCTAAACTTAAACCTTACATAAGTGAATTAGAAGTCCTGAGAATACATCGGAGTCTGATTTTAAACCTGGCAGTCTTTGAAAGAGCCAGAGATTGACTGAGTCTTATGAAAATGGAAAATCAGCTTCAACTCCACAAAACCTTTATTTAAATTAAGGCAGGGCATCTTAACTTTGGCATTATTGGCATTTTGGACAAAGTAATTATTTGTCGTAGAAGCCTGCCCTGTGCATTTTAGGTTGTTTAGTAGCATTCCTGACCTCTACTTACTAGGTGCCAGGAGCATTTTCTTACTTGTAACAACCAAAAATATCTTTACATATTGCCAAATGTCCCCTAAAAGGTAAATTTTCTACAATGAGAAACACAGCATTGAGGGGATTTCCTTGTACTGTATCAATCTTGCAGTGAGATGCGTGAACTTACCTTGCAAGAAGTAACATAAACTGGAGCCTATACTACTTACAATTTTTAATAAACAATAGCCACAATTTAATAAAAATCGGAACATCAGAAGAGTGAAAAAATATTTTCAAAATAAGGAACAAAAAGATAAATAACTGGAATATAATCAGAGTCTATCCAGAGTATGAAAGTGAGTAACAGCAACATTAAAATAACCGTGTTCAAGACAGTAGAAGAAAAAGTATAATAAATAAATAAATAAAAGGATAGCAAATTTCACCAGAGAATTAGAATCCATCAAAGGAAGTACATGAAGATTGTAAGACAAAAAAAATTGAAATTAGAAATTCATTAGATGAGTTTAAAATCAGATTAAACATAGGAGAAGACAAAAGAGTGTGCTGAACGTTAAATCAATAAAAATACTAAAATTAAAAATGCAAATAGAAAAAATGGAAAAATACAAGAAAGAATATTAGAGATACATGACATGCAGTAAAAATGTCATATATATGCTTCAATCACATATATATGTAATTATGTATATAATTGAAGTCCAAGTGGATAGGCAAATGAGAGAATGAGAAAGATGAAATATTTGAAAAAAGGATTACTAAGAACTTTTAAAACCCGATAAAAGACAACAAGCCGCAGAAAAAGAAACACACTGTGAACCACAAGCAGAATAATCAACAAAAAAAAGCCCTCAACACATAGACACAGGACAAAAAAAAAAAAGAAAAAGAAAGAATCTTAGAAGCAGCTGGGATGAGAGACTGTCCATTAGTTTAAAAGGAACGGATAAATTTATTCATAAAAGAAACATGAAATCCAGAGAAAACTGGAAAAACATATTTAAATTGCTGAAAGAAGATAATATCAACCTAAAAGTCTATCTGAGATAAAGTAAATAATTTAAATAAAGATGAGATAAAGACATCTTATGACAAACGAAAAGGAGAAAATCTGTTGCCTAAGAACTTCTAATAAATAAATTTTAACAGCAGTTCTTCAAATAAAAGAAAAGAATCCTGGAGAAAAATACTAAATTAAAGGAAAAAATAAAGAAGTAGACTGGTAAATAAGGTGGCATATGTAAATAAGTATACAATGAAATTGACTATACAAACAATAGTATGATGTCTTATGGAATATGCTATAGATACATATATATGCATATATGTTTATATATATGCATGACAACAGTTGTAAAAAATGAAAAAAATATAAAAGTGTTCTGTGATTCTGATATAAGAAGACATATAGTAAACCTAATAAAGTGATTAGACTCTAATAAGTCAAGGATTCATGTTGCAACCTTTAAGAAAGTTACCTATATAAAGAATAAAATAATTTATAACAGTTATAGAAGGGTTTTTTTTTTGAGAAAAAAGAAACAGATTATTTGCAAGAGCAAAGAGAAAATACAGTGCATAAAATGCAAAAATAAGATTGTAGTTAGAATGGCATATCACTCTCTACATTAAAAATAGATTCAAAACTTCATCTAAAACTAGGATTTTCAGATTTTTATTTTTGTGGGTATATACTAGATGTTTATACTTATGAGGTGCATGAGATATTTTGATTACAGTCATGCAATGTGAAATAAGCACATCATGGAGAAGAGGGTATCCATTCCTTAAGCATTTATCATTTGAGTTACAATCCAATTATACTCTAAGTTATTTAAAAATGTACAATTAAATTATTATTAACCATAGTCACCCTGTTGTGCTATTAAATAATAGGTCTTACTCATTCTATTTTTGTACACATTAACCATCCCTGCATTCCCCCCACCCCTGACCCCACTACATTGCCAAATCTTTAGTAAGCATTCTGCTACACTGTATCTCCGTGGATTGTTTAAATTTTTAGCTCCCATAAATGACTGGGAATATTAGAAGTTTGTCTTTCTATACCTGGCTTATTTCATTTAACATAATAACCTCCAGTTCCATCTATGTTTTGGCAAATAATAGGATCTCATTCTCTTTCTTGGCTGAATGGCACTCCATTGTGTATAGGTACCAAATTTTCTTTATCCTTTTGTCTGTTGATGGACACTTAGGTTGCTTCCAAATATTGGCAACTGTGTGTAGTGCTGAAATAAATATGGGAGTGTAGCTATCTTTTGATATACTGATTTTTTTCTTTAGGGTATATACCTAGGAGTGGGATTGCTGAATTGTAAGGTAACTCTATTTGTAGTTCTTTGAGGAACTTCCAAACTGTTCTCCATAGTGGTGGTACTAATTTACATTCCCATCAACAGTATTCTCCACGTCCCCATCAGTATTTGTTATTGACTGACCTTTGGATAAAAGCCATTTTAACTTGTAGTTTTGATTGGCATTTCTCTGATGATAATGATGTTGAGTATCTTTTCATATACCTGTTTGGCATTTTTATGCCTTCTTTCGAGAAATGTCTATTCAAATGTTTTGCCCATATTTTGATTGGATTAATAGATTTATTCCTATAGAGTTGTTTGAGCTCCTTGTATATTTTGATTATTAATCCCTTGGCAGAAGGGCACTTTTTATATATTTTCTCCTGTTCTCTGGTTCAATATCGATAGGTTGTACGTGTCTAAGAATTTATACATTTCTTCAAGATTTTCCAATTTATTAGTATATAGTTGCTCATAGTAGCCATTAATGATCCTTTAAATTTCTGTAGTATCAGTTATAATGTCTTCTTTTTTATCTCTAATTTTAATTATTTGAGTCTTCTCTCTGTTAATCTGGCTAAAGCTCTGTTGATTTTGTTTATCTTTTCAAAAAACCAACTTTTTGTTTCATTCATTTTTTTGGTATTGTTTTCTTGATTTCAATTTCATTTATTTATGCTCTGATCTTTATTATTTCTTTTCTTTTACTACTTTTGGTTTTGGTTGCTCTTGCTTTTCTAGTTCTTTAAGATTAACCATTCTGTGATGGTTGCCATTCTAACTGATGTGAGGTGGTATCTTAATGTGGTTTTGAT